AAAGAAATGAAAAAGTCTTTATAAGTCGAATTTAATGATATTAATGAGTCCAACCAAATTCGTAATATTTACGGAAAGTTTGAATAATCAAACTCCTTAATCACATAAATTTAATAATTAGAATTTAGTTAAATTAAAATCACGGTAAGTTCTATAAAGGGGTTTGTTTTGAACGGATTATCTTAAAAAAGTATATCATATACTAAACTGTGATGGAATGAAATACTACTACGCCATATAAGTTGGGATGTTAAATAAACGCGTAATTTATCCAATCAACTTTTTTCGCAAAAAAATTTATTCAATACTTCTATAACAAAAAGATTCGCAAGATCTATCTAAAAAAAAAAAAATAATAAAAGATATATAAATGTATATTACTGGATATATAAAAGTGAAAAAAGGTTTTTACAATTACTGTAATTCGGTACTGTCGATACATGTTGCTAAAAATTTTGTATGAGGGATGAAACACTTATATTATACCCGATATTAATCAAAAATGCATCAACGTGGATAATTACCATTTTCCATTTTAAAAAATTAATAAATAAGATTTACAACATAAAAAAATTTAAAAAAATTTATTTAACATAATATATATTTTAATATCATATGCAGTATCATATATCGGGTATTGCGTGTTCGAAATTTAGATAATCGAGTAAAGTTTTTTCATATTTATCCGAGTTATATTTGTAATCACTATCTATTTTAAATATAATATTTTATCTTCAATTTAATAAATTATTATGTAAATTATAATAAAATATTTCAGTTTAATATATATAAAGGTTCAACCTTAGTATTGTTATTTGTCTGTAATGAAATATTTTTCAAAACTTTTGGCTTCATATTCACCGAGATATTTAATAAAATGTCAATTAAATTATATTCACATTTTAAAATCATTAAATTCGAAAGCTGTCCGTTTGATCATGAATTTTTTTAATATTAAGCAAAACCTAAGTTAAACTATAAAATTTATAAAAATTAGTATTTATTTTAAAATATAGGGTTTGAATATTAGCCAATAACGATGAAAAATTAATATTAAATATTACATACAACTTTATTTAAGGTTATAATCCAGTGTAACGATGACTATATATGTATGTCCGCTTAGATTACTTTAAAAATATGTGTATAATTTAATTTAAATTTTACTTGTTATCAAATAATAATATAATTTAACTTTAAAAAGATACATTTATTAACTAATGTGTATAATTAAATTCTAGTATTTATTAAGTACTAATTTGGCTAAAATTTTAATTTAATCGAAAGAAATTTTAATAGGATCGTTAAGTTGGGACTGCTCTTTTAAAGCCCAGTCCAAAATTTCAAAAGTTACTACAAAATCCAAAGCCAGTAAAAAAAAACTATCTAGAACTGGGCAAATTTATTGAACTTTTAGAACCGTTTATGTCGGAGAAGATAATCAAAACTGACAGAAGCATAAAATTGATTATTTACACCTTTTTATTTAACAACATAAAGTATATTATTTAATTTGATACAACATTTTAAATTAATGAAATTTATTAATATGAATATTTAAGATTGTTTTCCTTCTTTCATTAACTTTAATAATTCTTTAAGGTTTTCTTCCATGACGTTTATTCTATTTGTAACATCTATTGATAGCATATCAATCTTTTTTTCTAGAATATTGATTTTATTATTCTCATTTTCATTATCATCACTCTCTGGTTCAACCTTAAATTCAAAATTCTGTATCTTGCCACTTTCACTTGCTCTAGTACCTTTAAATCCTTCAACGTTAAATAATTCATCTCCTAAAGAAGTCATTGATTTGTCACCTCTACTATGATGCTCGATATTACCTTTATCATCATTTATATAATTATTATCATCAAATTTGTGTGAATGAACGTCTTCTGCTAACAAAGATTTATGCGCTTGCCTTTGTCTTTCAGACTTTGCTAACCATTCTTCTTGAACTTCGGATCTACCAACATAATAAATATATCTTGGATTTCCTTTGTCATTACCAAATGGTTTATCTATCATTTCATAATCTGCTATTACATCCGCTCGAAATTTTAAGACAGCTTGTTTAACATTAGATTTTGTTTCATCAAATACACCTCTAATTTCATGATCGTAAAAAAAAAATTAGATCAAAAATTTTTTAACGGTTTTTTTTAAAAAAAAAATTCATTGCTTACGTCATAAATGCAATTAACATATTTTGCATAATAATGACTAACAAAATACTTGCGGCTATGAATTAAAAAAAAAAAGGATTACACTTATTTTGCTGAAATGATCAAATGTGAAAATATTGTAAAAATACGTACTTATACTTAATACAGTAATTGGCCAAAAATCCCACATTTCCATTTGATCCCATCTGCCAAGCATCCAAAAATATACAGCTATAATAGAATTCCCAAATTTTCGATAATAATTATCACTTGTAGAATCGAGATCGTAACTTTCAACAATTCTTAAATCAGGAATTGATGTATTTGATGTCGTATTTACTATGTCAAAACTTTGTCCTGAAGGTGTCAAATTAATTAATTCCGGATCTTTTAATAAAATGTGTCTATTATTATTATTAAATTATTAATATTTTTTGTATATTTTTGTATGAAAATAAAAATTGTTATTGTTATAACTTAACGTACAACGAAAATATTTCAAAAATTATGTACTCACATAGAGTGACCAAATCCAACTATCACAAGACCCATAAATATGATGAATGTTGATACTCCACGCATTATATTTACGATCATGTTGATATAATGTGCAGACTTTTCAAAAAACCTCATGAGAAGGATTAACTCAAACCAAAGCAATAAAATTACGAAAGCAACGGTTATACGATTGGATCTTTCGAGGCCAATTGCATCAAGGCCCAGATTTTTTAAATCCGAAAATTTAGGATTATCGTTATTAATTCCAGACCTTAATTTGGTAATAAGAAATGCCGTATATGATGCAAGAGGAGCAGCTCGAGACAAAAAATCAACAATGTGATAAAATGTAAAGTACTTCCATTTATCATAATGTAATTGAATTACTTCTTTTGCCAAAAGATAGTATCCGAGATAATAAAATATTATAACCAATATATAGAATAATACACCAGCTTTAAAAACCCCAACAACTCCAGTGAGTAGACCAAATGAAAGTGCGTAAAGCATATATAATATAATTTGTAGGATAAAATGATTACGTGCTGACTTCCATTTGAAATTTATGCAAGCTTCCATTGCTGGATTATCGTAATATTCATCATTCTCATCATGTCTTATGAAACGTAGAAAGGGACTTCGTTGTTCATCTTTTTGAACCGTATAACCTTTCGGTATGAAGATTACCTTTAAGAGTAGGAAAGGAATCTTCCAATTAGGAGGTTTTTGATAATTATTATTACCTTTGGGATAAACTGTGAAATCTGGAAGTGGAACTACACGTAAATTTGTTAGTTGTAAATCTTCAGGTTGTCCATTCGTTCTCCTGCAAATTTTAGAGGATGAAAAAAAAAGAGAGAAGAAATTATAAAAAAAGGTTATCTCTTATAAAGTATAAATTGTTTACTGTTACCTTTTAAATATTGGTTTTACTTTTTTCCAAAAAGATGACTTCTTTTGTTTTTGTATTAGACCTGGTTTAATGTCCAACGTGAAAATCGAATCACTGTAGCCTATTTTCAGTTTCGTTTGGTCAACAAATGAAGGATCCAAATGTTCTTCTCTTGCACCAAAACATGGTTTATAAAATAATTCCTTGATATATATCTCTAAATTTGATAATTACAATCAACGTTACGTCAATATACATGAATAAAACAAAGTTAACGAACCTAAATGATATTCCTTTAACAAGGGAATTATTTTGCTTATAGTAAACATCCAGCCTGTACTTTGCATTGCATTATTAGAATAATAATCAATCAACATTGCGGCTATTACTGAACCTTTACGATGTTCGCCTAAATAAATGATATAAATATATTTGCAAAAAAAGAAAAGAAAAGAAAAGATTGCATTGATTACCTTCCGAATTTTGAATTGCAATTTCCAAGTCACTAACTTTCTCTGAATACCCCCAATCATAAAGTCTTGGCAAATGTAAAAATCGACAAATGCGATTTGAATGATTTGGATTAGTCGCATTATTCTCGAATAGAATATGTTGTATTAAAGCAGCTCGTTCCCCGTGAATAAGATTAGCCATTAGGTTAAATCGAACTTCTGATAATCTCCAAACATCCGGTTGTGTTTTAATAATGTGAACGATAAAATTTTCCGTATCATTAACCAGTCCTTCAAATTTATTCTGATTTTTTGGTCCAACTGGTTCGCATTTTCGTCGATTTAAAAGTTTTAAGGCTTCGCATGCATCCTCTAAAACGTGAGTTTTTTGTGGCCAATGAACCTTAATTGTCTCTGGTTTTGAACTATTGAGCTGATATTTTAATTCTAATGAAAATTCCAAATTTCCAATTGAAAGAGAATTAATTCGAATTAAATTCACTGGAAATATCCGAATATATTCTAAAACTCTTTTGTTACGATCACTTTTACGCCATACTTGGACACTCGTTTCACCAATAATAAGTTGAGTTGTTTTCTTTTCGTCCAAGTAAGCTGAAGTGCGTTGATATCGTTTATATTTTACCCATGGTTCTTTATTGTTAACGACGACGGATCGTTTATTTTCCGTTTTAGTAGCCAACTTATCATCTAATCGAAAGATATTATCGTCGTTAACTAAAGTTCCCTCATGTTCCGTCATACATTTTCCGTCTAATTGATAGATCGTATGATAATGATGATATTTTCCTGAAGATCGATCTATAACGTTTTCGAATGAAAGTGTTTTAAGTTTTTTGGAATGATAATCCAGACTTTTCTCTATTGATGATTCGATGTCAGGGTGATGGGGTATAGAGAAGATTTTTCCATTCTCCGTGATGGAGATAATATTTTCACTTGACCTTGCAATCGAATGACCGGTATTTTCTTGTAACGTTGGAAACACATTTTCAAGGTTTTCGATTTTATGTAAAGTATTTTTATAAGTGAAAATGTCCCAAATAAATATAATGGAAGCAAATTTAACAGTTCCATCATCATGATAACCGATTTCATCTTCAGCAATAATAAATAATTGTTCATCATTATTAATAAATGATATAGATAAGATCCTATTAGTGCTATTAAGTAATTTCGTTGTAACTTCAAGACCATTTTCCATTAAATAAATTGTAATACATTTATTACCACTACAATGGGCCAATAAACTATTATTCTTAGAAATTGCAAAAATTGTTGTATTTGATGTGATTTCTTCGATTTCTTCGCGTTTTTGAAAAGTCATTTCTAATTCACAAGATTTTAAGTTATACATTTCAATTCTATTAGTTTTAAAATCTTCAGCAAAGAAATAATTTCTTTCAATAATCGAATTTAAAAAACTTTTACATGAAGTTTCTTCGTATAATTTTAGAATTTTAATTGCAACATTTGAAGGGAAGTGAAATTCATCAGAAATAATTTGTTTGTTAAAGAACGATCCAGTAGTTAGAATTTGAAAATTATTTTTATGAAATATTTTAGCTTTTGAAATTCCTGAAGCATTCATTATAATTAATTCAGTGAATTCATCGGAAGGATTATTACACAAGAAATGCAAAACTCCACCAATATTATCAACAGTAGTTGAAATCCTTGAATTTTTACGAGCAGAAATAACAAAAGTTGTAGGGGGAATACGAGTTATAAAATCAAGTCCTTTTTCAGCATCTGTATCTGCTTGAATACTGGAATTATCTTGCCTGCCCATTACATCTTTTTCATTAAAACATGATATCGCAACTAATACTTCATTGTCGATCGAATTGGAGATGGCCAAGGACCAAAACGATTTAACGGAAGGTAAATCCAACTTTGCGTAATCATTATATTTGATTGGTGTTGATTTATTAAAAATTTCCGTAAATATTACGAATTTGGTTGGACTCATTAATATCATTAAATTCGACTTATAAAGACTTTTTCATTTCTTT